TGTGGTTTCTGGACCTGGACCTTCAGGTCTGAGTACTCATGTGGTTTTGGAAAAGTCTAAGGTTCATGCTCTGTCAAAGGGAGAGGTCCTCCTCAAACTGTGCTGCAACAGTCTGCACACGTAAAAAAAAAACATTTAGGTGTCTTCTCGGTTTGATGTTTCTGAACTCGTGCATTTCCTGTTTCCTGCAGGAGTGTGGATGATGATGATGATGATGATGATGATGATGAGTCAGACTCACGGTGATGATGGCCTTCCCCACCGCGCCTCCTGGTCTGAGCAGAGCTTTGGACAGTTTCCTTTGAGAGATGATCTGCAACAAACACAAAGCAAACCTTGTGAAGACCCAGAAGGTTCTGACCCAGAAGGTTCTGTTGGAGTCCACCGAACCTTTTTAAAAAGCAGAACCTTCCAGGAGGTTCAGAACTTTCGAAGATGATTTTCTGTTGTGGGACGTTTTGTGGGAGCTTGTAAACATTTTTAAAGTTGTTACACAAACAGTAAAATTTTACAAGAACCAGAACTAAATGTTTGTGAAATGAATCCAGAACCCAAAGAGTTCTGGTCACCCATCCATCATCTTCATCTGCTGTGAGTCAGCAGAATCAACACTTTGGACACATAAGGCAGCAGAACCCCACCCCACCCCCCCAAGCTCTTCTTCCAGGCTCATTAGCAGAACCCCTCCACCATCTGGCTGCTGGAGGAGCTGCTGGCAGAACCGATGAAGAGGAGGAGTTCTTCACTGCCAAAGATGATCATTTCCTCACAGACTTGGCCGCTGCTCCTCTTTCTCCTTAGCTTGGCAGGGTGAAACGTTTGGTTCCTCCCAGGAAGCTGAGGAGACCGCCTGCAGGAGGTTCTGGAGGACAGCAGGTCCGATGATGAAGTACAGTTCAGTGTGTAATGGGCCCAGCAGCAGGTGGAGTCAAAGCCAGCAGAAACCTGGGCCAGAAAAAGCACAACGCTTTGGACCTTCCTCATCGTCCCATTTGATACAAAGGTTTGACCCATCAGAACCCACAAAGGCCATGTGGTCCACCACAGGTCCTGAAACTCTGGAGCTCTAGACTCAGATGAGAATCAGTTCACACGGGTCCTAAATTATTCAGCAAAAACTGAACCAGTGAGTTAAAACCTTTACAGATTCGAGAACACACTGACTGATCTCTGACTGATCTCTGACCGGTCTCTGACTGATCCCTGACTGAACTCTGACTGATCCCTGACCGATCTCTGACTGATCTTTGACCGATCCCTGACTGATCCCTGACCTATCCCTGACTATCTCTGGCTGATCCCTGACCGATCCCTAACCAATCCCTAACCGATCTCTGACTGATCTCTGACTAATCCCTGACTAATCCCTGACTTTTCTCTGACTGATCTCTGACTGATCCTTGACCGATCCCTGACAATCTCTGACTGATATCTGACTGATCCCTGATCGATCCCTAACCGATCTCTGATCTCTGACTGATTGCTGACTGATCTCTAACTGAGCTATGACTAATCCCTGACAGATCCATGACTGATCTCTGACTGATCTATGGCTGATCCCTGACTAATCCCTGACTGATCTTTGACTGGTCTCTGACTGATCTCTGACTGATCCCTGACCGATCTTTGACTGATCCCTGACTGATCCCTGACTAATCCCTGACTGATCTCTGACTGATATCTGACTGATCCCTGATGGATCCCTGACCGATCTCTGACCAATCCCTGACCAATCTCTGACCGATCGCTGACCAATCCCTTACTGATCTCTGACTGATTTCTGACTGATCCCTGACCGATCTCTGACCGATCCCTGACCGATCTCTGATCATCTCTGACCGATCTCTGACTGATCCCTGACCGATCTCTGACCGATCTCTGACCGATCCCTAACCAATCTCTGACTGATCCCTGACTAATCCCTGATTGATCTCTGACTGGTCTCTGAATGATCTCTGACCAATCCCTGATGATCTCTGACTGATATCTGACTGATCCCTGACTGATCGCTGACTGATCTCTGACCGATCTCTGACTGATCCCTGACTGATCGCTGACTGATCGCTGACTGATCTCTGATCAATCTCTGACCGATCCCTAACGATCCCTAACGATCCCTAACGATCCCTAACTGATCTCTGACTGATCTCTGACGGATCCCTGACTGATCTCTGACAAATTCCTAACCGATCTCTGACTGATCCCTGACTGATTTCTGACTGATCTCTGACTGATCCCTGAGTAATCCCTAACCGATCTCTGACTGATCTCTGACTGATCTCTGACTTGTCTCTGACTCATCCCTGACTGATCTCAGACTGATCTCTGACTGATCTCTGACTGATCCCTGACTGATCGCTGACTGATCTCTGATCAATCTCTGACCGATCCCTGACCCATCCCTGACCAATCTCTGACCGATCCCTAACGATCCCTAACTGATCTCTGACTGATCCCTGACTGATCTTTGACTGATCCCTGACTGATCTCTGACTGATCTCTGACTGATCTCTGA